TCCAGTAAAAATGATCTAAACTGTATAATCTTAAACTGTATAAGGCATATATCAAACGCTCTGTGATTATTATAAGTTCAAAACACTTTTAAAACAGAGGATGTTTGTAATAGAAGACAGTAAAATTGTTATGTAATTCTTAATCATTATAATCACCATATATAATGGGGATTATAATAATATAATAACCATATATATCACCATATTAGTGAAGCTGAGGGGAGTGTGGTTTACTTGAACAACTCTTACGTTATACTAACCACCATTTTACAAACCATCATTCATTTTATACATTTAAAGTGAATTAATGGTCATCATCATGTTTCATAATGCATGTGCACTTCAATTAAAACTGGACAGAGCAATGCACAAGCATCTCTACCTTATGGATTTGCTAAGTAAATAAATAAAAAAAAAATCACTAAATGCATGATTTTGCTGAAACCTGAACACAAGAGGTTTCCTTCGTGAATGGACAGTTTGAATCATTAATGACTCATTCTTGCACTCATATAAAGGTGTAGTGTGTACAGTGTATGCATTTATGAAATGATGAGAATCATAATTTTAGAAAGGCTTGAATAAACTTCACCTTAAATACATCAATTAAACTTGGTTTTTTGACTAATCTGAGTCTGTCTCGATCACTGACTGCTGTTTATCTGACATAACGCATGATGAAAAGCAGACACGCACGTGGGAATTATGGATGGGGAGATGCAGCTCATTTGCATTTAAAGCCACAGGCTACAAAAACAACTACATTGTACTAAGCCACCTAAATTGGTAGATTCTGGAAGCTATTATAAATAATCTGATAGGTATTTTGAGGTGAAACTTTACAGAGACGTTCTGGAGACACCAAAGGCTTGTCATACATCTTGAAAAGATGTCACATAATGAAAATCTGCACTGTAAAATCCAAAAGTTAACGTAACTCAAACCATTTGAGGAAACCAATTGCAACAAACCCTTTCTTCAAAAACTAATCCTAATCAGCACTGTTAACTTAATCTATTTGGGTAAACGAATCAATCTTAGCACAGTAAAACCAAATAATGGAAGAGAACTCAAACAAAAATTCTCTGCAGAAATAGAAAAAAACATCCGCAGATTCCATCTGGCCTGCCTATAGCTGAAGAATAAGAGTTAAGTACATTGAAATGGACATACTGTGAGCCTCCTACACCAATGTTTGCTTTTTTTAACTTACCTTTAGATATCAGAGAACAATTTAACTTATTGAATCAATGAACTCTATGACACCATGGAGCAGTGTGCAAATAAAGGAGTGAGGTTTTAGGGGTATAACAAAAGATGGCTATTGGTTGAGCTGCACAGATTGGTTTAAATCTGGCACAAAGTGGTCCACGTTGGTACTGTGAGGAAGTGAAACTGAAAGGGAGTGAGGATTAAGGGGGTGAGTGTAACAGAGAACAGCCAGTAAGAGCTGATGCTAAAGGATATCATCTATCTCATAGACGTCTTTTGAATTGTCAGTAGAGGAAATGCTAGTAGATTGGAAGGGGTTACATTGATGCCATGGAGTAAGTTTAATAATAATAATAATAATTCCTTACATTTATATAGCGCTTTTCTGGGCACTCAAATTGCTTTACACACAATGGGGGGGATCTCCTCATCCACCACCAGTGTGCAGCATCCACCTGGATGACGTGACGGCAGCCATTTTGTGCCAGACCGCACACCCAACACCAGCTGATTGGTAGAGAGGAGACCGTGATGAAGCCAACTGGAATATGGGGATGGTTAGGGACCATGATGGAGAGAGGCCAGTGGGCAGATTTGGCCAGGATGCCAGGGTTAAACTTCTACTCTTTTCAAAGGACATCCTGGGATTTTTAACGACCACAGAGAGTCGGGACCTTGGTTTAACGTCTCATCTGAAAGACGGCGCTCACTGAGCAGTATAGCGTCCCCGTCACTATACTGGGGCATTAGGACCCACACAGACCGCAAGTTGGGCGCCCCCTGCTGGCCTCACTAACACCACTTCCGGCAGCAACCTAGCTTTCTCATGTGGTCTCCCATTCAGGTACTGACTGGGCGCAGCCCTGCTTAGCTTCAGTGGGCGACAATGTGAGAGTTGCAGAGCTAGCTGCCGGCAATGTGTTTAGGGGGCTATGTGTAATGAGAGTTAGCATGCAGCAGCTCTATGAGTAAATTTTACTCCCCTAACCTTAAAAGATGCATTGGCATTGATGGTAGAAGCTGTGGTATTTACCATCCTTGCCAGATTAGATCCATGCATGGAGTTGTTTTAGTCCATTAAATGATTCGACCAAGCATTCAGCCTGATTCAACCTCAAAATAAATGTCTGCATTACAAGCTGGGATTCTTTTTTCAAGTAGAACCAGAGGGATTACATGAGCATGCATTTAGTAAGCGTATATTTATGTTCTGTTGTTTTATTTCAGTACTTCCTGTCTTCAATGCTGCTGATAACATTTCCAGATGTGCAGGGTACTTGAAGTTGTGTCTGCTGGTTGACTAAGCTTGTGTTCATTCTCAGAACTCCCTTCTCATTCATTAGCTCAAACGACAAGGGCAGAAAACAACCATCTCTAAAATAATCGCCCTCCACAGTCCCCTACCTCGACCCATGAGGGCCTCAGCTAGTAATCTTGTCAGAAGCATGAAAGCTGTGCTGGAGTGTTGGAGGCAGGGCTGCACCACAGAAACCTTAATGAGATTGGCTCAGATGAAGAGAAGGATACCATGATTAGCTTGCTATATTCCTCTTGGAAGCATTTAGGGATTTGGGTGCTCACAACCTGCCACAAGCAGTAAGAAAAAATCTGCTTACCAAAAGTGACGTGGGTTGAAATCTCGCTTTCACAGAGAAGTTGGTTTGTCCCATGATCTATCTGAGGAGGGAGCAGGTGACTGCATGCGCTCCCGGGTTGGAGGATCTGTAAACGGATTTGTTTAAAATCAACTGAGAAGGGAGTTAATGATTGTCTGAGGAGCTAATATTTACTTCTAGTTTACTGGCATTCATTTTGTAAACATTCAGCGATGGTTCACATAGAATGTGATTTTGCGATTGATGCGTTTGATTGTTCTGCAATGTTGCCATGTTTACGAAGACAAATTCCTACACCTTGTGTTCAATATATCATTTTAGTATTGTTTACATATTCTAATTAGTCATGAGATTGTGGGATTCGAAAGAAACTGCAGACGCAGCTGATCACTGTTACCCTGATGAAGGCAAGTATTTGCCGAAATGCATAGGTGCAATTTTAAAGAATAGCCATGTCAATAAAGACTTTTTAAATTAAAATTTTTTTTTTTTTACAAATTTCCAAATGCCTTGGATGGATTTTTTTGCTACATTATCCTCTTTAGAAGTCTTTGTATTTTAAAAAATTTAACAATCTCTAAATTTAATTTATACAACTAATTAATTAAATGTTAATGCTCGGGTCATCATTTGACTTCAATATAAACAATTGGAAGATTATAAAAAATGTTTTTAGATTAGTTCATCTAATCTCTGGAAAACAGTGATCTATGATTATTGATATTGGCATTGTGATAGTGGTTTTCTCTATTTGAAGTTTTTTTTTTTTTCAATTTAGGAGAATAATCAATAAAATTGTGAAGGATTCCATGGGCCCCGATCAGAGAGGGAGTCCAATGCAATCTAAAAGAGGGACAAGAATCTAAAATGGCACTCCAGCTTGTAATGCAGACATTAATTTTGAACTGCATTGAATCATTTAACGCATTAAGTCAGAATAACAATGAATACGTTTTCACAGCCCAATGAGAATAAAACTTAGTGCACAATTATAGTGGAGAGTTAATGCAAGTTCATTCCCTTAATCACAGTGGGAGGTGGAGATAAAGATCTGTTCAATGGAGTTAAACATGATGCTAAACAAGAAAAGAAGAGTGATCAGATAGCAACTTCATCAGTGACTTCACCACTCCCGTTTTCCGGAAACAAGACATACAGACCTGTAAGCCCTCCCTCTTTTCCTCTAGTTCCCCAAGCTTGGGGTTACATAACACGTGATACCGCATGTGTGTGTGTGTGTGTGTGTGTGTGTCAAATGGAGAATGCTGTACATGTGTCAAACCTACAGTTAAGAGAGTTCGCAAAGGACAAGAGTAAAACCTTTCATGCTCTGACCTCTCCATTCTAAGAATTGATGTAAATCAGCAACAGAGATGAACAAGGAAAAAAAAACGATTGAGTTTGTGGTCCCTGTGAGCTGTACATTCAGAAACGATGGTGCACTCACATAGTACCTTTAACGGACATGGAAACATTGTAAAAGTCTAGAAAGTTTGGGAAAAAGGTATGTAAAAGAGTATTAAACTGTTCTACAAAAGTGTTCACCATATGGTTATTTGGGGAACCCAACATGATACTTCCATTGCAGGAGTGGGCAGGGGCACTGTCCTCAGTGGTGTAATAATTGGGGGACAGAGTGCAGATTGTTGGCTCAGATGGTTTGAGGGGCCTATAGGAATAAAATCAATGTCTTCGACGTTGCTTGAAAACAGTTGTATTTGATGAGAGCTTCAGCTATACGCTAAAGGATAATAGACCTCCAGGACTTCAGCTGCCAACTTCTTTGGCATTGCTGCAAAATGTTTTATTTGGAAACAAACAAATCTCATAGCAATCTTATGACATTAAATATTGCTTAAATATCAGCTGAGCAAGCTCAGTAAAGCAATCTTGAGGAAGATCCAACTGATCGCAGACACACTTTTAATCACACTGTCATCTGATCAATGTCAAATGCTAGTTGACTTGAAGCATTGGTCCTAATTTTTACAACCTTCATTTCTGTCCTTGTTAGCCGAGCTAATAGGATTGGCTGGTTCACACAGGAAGATCAGTAAAGCCCTCCCCAATCCTAAGCTAAGACTTTTGAGGTGGACAAGGAGGAATTAGAGGGGATAGAGCAACCAAAGGAAGAAACAGTACAGTCCACTTCAGTCTCTGTACCTGTCTCTATCCACTTGTCCACCTCCACGTAGGTCACACTTAGAAGGGGAATCAAGACTTCTGCGACCCTCCCCCTATCACGTGATCTGAGGTACAGGGCTACCTGCATCCATTTCTCTGTCTGCAAAGCACAGGGGAAGCCGGCAAAATTTCTTTCCTTGAGGAACTTGACAGGGAAGCGTCAGACGACGAGATGGGTAGCGGAGCGAGCGCAGAGGATAAGGAAATGGCCAAGAAGTCCAAAGAGCTGGAAAAGCAGCTCCAGGAAGATGCCGATAAGGAAGCCAAGACGGTCAAACTTCTGCTGCTGGGTAAGAATTTGACTTATCTTGTGCACTTGTGTTCAGTTAAAGGATTCAGCCTCCAGAACCAGCTTCCACAAATCCAGAAACTACAGATGTTTTTGTGCCAGCAACTACTTTGCAAGCTGTAAAATAGTACAGTTCTGAACTTTGCTGCAGATTTTAGCAGATCAGGAGATTCTGGACAACATGGTGCATCCATCCTGGATGACAGTCAAGATCTAACCACTACCAAATGGATTATGGAGATTTAAGAAAAAAAGCGATACTGTGAAAGCTTTTTTTAGTTTCTTTTTTAATCTGGGATTAAGAGTTTTGCACTAAGATACAGCATTAAGGCATTCTGTAATCAGACAATCTGGAATTCTGACAGGTTATTTACTATAATAAACTGCAACTGTAAGTCTTTATTCACAATATTGCAGTAGTAAAATATAAAATTAGAAGATTGCATGCAAAATGTTTTCACTTTTCTGTTGATGTGCATGGCATATAACACTATTTGATGACATTTACAAAACATTACCAAGTGCTTTCTGCATTTCAGATGATTTTGCATGTGATGCATAACAGCTTTTACAAATAATCTTTTAAGCCTAATTAATTTATTCAAGTTTTTCAATTTTAAGCATTCGCAGAATTAGGTTTTAGAAATGTTTGCAGGATTCCAGTTTACTGCAGCAACACATCCGCATGTTCACCGCATGTGAAGTCGCCTTAAAAGATCACAACCTGAGGAAGCCTGTGAATTGTGGCATATTGGCAATAAGACCAGAATCCGATTACGGTGATGATTTAAGCCCCGATCCTCTTAAGCTCAGGTTCAGTTTATCTTCCAATGGAAATGGAAAGCAGAGGAAGCCAGTTTCGAGGCTCCTGGCAGTTGATTACATCAACACACTTCAAATCAATGAGCCCATTTCAGCAAATCGCTGTGAGAGAGATGCATCGATTAAGTATCGATCTGATTTCTCCCAACCCGATAAGCCACTTCCTGTCTAAACAGGAAAATTTCATATCCTCCTGTTATCAAATAATATTAACGCTGTTAAAATAATAAATGTGATCCTGGTCTCAAGGGTGTATTATAGATTCAAAATAATCAATTTTGTTTTAAGTCAGAAATCAGTCGAATATTATGTAAAAGATCATGTTCAATGAAGATATTTTGTATATTTCTAACTGTAAATATATAAAACTTATAATATAAAACAATATACTTATAAATACATATATATGTACATATATAAAACAATATACTTTGCTAGGAACTTAATTTGAACAGCTTTAAAGGTAATTTACTTAATTTTTCATTTTTCAGATTTCATATTTTGAAATGTTTGTATCTCGACCAAATATCCTATCCTAAAAAACTGTACATCAATGGAAAGCTTATTTATTAAAATAACATTATTTATTTATTTGTTAAAAAATTGTCCATTCTGGATGGTTTCATGGTCCTAAGCCAAAAACGTAAACTAAAATATTAAAATATAACAAATTATTAGAATTATTTAAAATGTATTTTTCTTTTGCACAAAATCTTATTCAAACTGTTTTAACTCTTTCACAATTACAGTCAAAGAGTGTGGTAATAATGGTAGTGATGTGTATTCAAATCTGAGAGTTAGGAAGTAGAAAGCAGGTTATCTAATGTAGTTGCTAAATAGACAGAGATGCAACAGTGATGACGCACATTCTCTTAACACATCACCACAGCTACTGTTAACTCTCAAAGTAAAGGGCATGTAAGAGTGACAGTTGCTACGGGAGATGGTTAAGCCCCACCCCTTTGCCCTGGACTGACTGAAGCTCAAAGGCGAATCAAAGTGTCAGTGATCTTCTGAGAAGCTTTCCCTAACACAAATCCAATTGGGTCACTTTATAAGCAGGCTCATAAGCCTTCCTCTGACCTGCCCATCAATGGCAATCTATGAGTTTTTCTTGACAGGTTATCTACAGCTTAACATTGACCTTGTTATTAAAATCAATATCCATAGAGAGGAAAACAAATGGTTTAAATTCAGGAAAAATTCAGGCATTATGTTATCTGTATGAAGTGATACATCAATGTCACAATGGAATATGTAACCAAGGGACTAAGATTCAGCTCAATGTGGTTTGTTCAAAGACCTTCGAATGAAGTTAAAAGTTACAGATGGAGTTCATCGTGCCAAAACTTTGTGTGATGTTTGGTTTAAAAGCGTTTGAGGACTCGTTTGTCCTTTATTTGCTCTACATCATGTTTTTTCCCCTTTGTTTTATAGGTGCTGGTGAATCAGGGAAGAGCACCATTGTAAAACAGATGAAGTGAGTTGAAACACATGCGATATACAAAACACATGCTCAGATATGACAATTTGTATCTTTGTAGACAAGCTGTGTAAGCTCTTGAATTGAGATTTAGGTTTCTTGCATTCTAACTGAATTAATCCTTAACATTTAGTGTGCATTTGGGGAATACCAGCGCTTACCTACAGTAGAGTTGAGACCCTAAACTGTTATCACTAGGTGGTAGTGAATGAGGAGCCTGTCCTTTATCTTCAAATCATTAATAAAAACCCCTCTTGTTCCTGTCCAAGGATTCTCCATCAAGGTGGTTATACAAAAGAAGAACAAATGGAGTTTCGATCTATTATTTTTGGCAACATCCTGCAGTCTGCTCTGGCCATCATCAGGGGCATGGAGATGCTGTCAATCAACTTTGGATCGCCATCTGCACAGGTCTGCAGGACTGCTCTAAAACAAACAGAACAATTATTAGTGTGAAAATGATTCTCTAAAAAGCATGTTATGATGTTCAGTACAAGCAAGAGTTATAGTGGGCATGCAGTGAATGAACAGCGCTCTCATCCAACCGTAGGCCTAGTTCATACTACATGTCTTCAATCACCAGCAGATAGCTGTTCAGACTACACGACTTAATCCTGAGTCTTTATGTTCCCACTATGCAGCAATACACAAATGATCTACTGCATAACGTAATGTGTGCATTTGTAGAGCGCATCTATCATGTATGGCCATACCCCTAAAGCACTTCACAATCATGAGGGGGGTCTCTCCACACCACCAGTGTGCAGCATCCACTTGGATTAACAAATCAAATCAAATCAGGCCTTTACTTGTCACATACACTTTCGTATAGTGAAATTGAACCCCCGAATGTACAAAAACATCACAATTTTCAGGGGAAGACAAGTCACAGGAGGTAGCATTTAGAAAAAGGAAGTAAGATACATCAGGAGAGGGAGGCAAAAAAACACCCTCTCACCTTGCTCTTGAATTAGAGCAATGTGAGACCAGGGAGAAAAAAAAATGCCACACCAATCTAGCACAAAAACACACAGACAAGACACCACATTGCCACAGTGGATGGGAACAGGGGGTGTGGATATAGTCCATTGAGGGCGGGCAGCCATCTGGCCCTTCAGCCATGGAGGGGCTGGTTGCAGACCCGCCTACCCCCTCCAGTGGGTAAAAGCACACGAAGGCGTTTGGATGAAGGGATAGGTAGTGATTGTTTATCTGTAGTTGTGTCTGTGTGTGTGTGTGTAAGCCTGTAGAGTTCAACAGGTGTCCTTGACAGGGAGCAGGAATTTCAGAGCGTCTCCTTATCTTGCTATCCAAGAGAAGTTGTTTTTCTCCGGCTGAGGCCGTCTGGCAGGAGAAAAGAAAACACAGGGAAGCCGAAAGTGTAGAAGATACTTTAACTTTAGGTCAATATCTGCCAATTACACAAATATTTAATGTCCATCACTCGTCTTCAGATCTGGCCAAATCTTGTTGCAAAGCTTCTAATTTCACCCCAATGTTTTCCAATTTGCGATCTAATATTGCAGTCTGATTATTAGCTAGCCTGCCCATCAGCGTTTCAATCAAACTGGCCAGCCTGGTGGGGTTTTGAGCAGCACTGACCGCTTTCATCAATTGTCGATACCCCAGGGCCCCGCATAAGCCCATCAGCAGAAAGCCTGTTATCAAAGTTCTGAATAGGTAAATATCTTCAATATCCTCAAGAGACAGAGCAACCAGGCACAGGACTCGCCACTTCTCCCAACCATCCATCACGTATCCTGCAAACCTCCCCTCAGGACAAGTGGGCTCTCTCGAGCCCAAACTTCTTGTCGAGATGATGGTGTCAATCGCATTCAGAGACCAGTTGATCAAATCCATAATTCCTAATTCGTTTGGATAACAGGGCACGGAGAGCCTCAGAGATTGAATAAGACAAAGACAAGAGGAGCTAGCAAGGAGAGATATGGGACGGAGAGGGAAAAAGCGTGACCGCCTTCGCCGAGAGCCAAAGAAGAATGAAGGCATGTGATGGCAGCCACAGTACAACTGCACCAGTGCGCTCACCACACACCAGCTTTATGGGGAGTAGAGAGACAGTGATAGAGCCAATTCATTGGATAGGGATGATTAGGAGGCCATGATGCAAGTGCTGATGGAGGGAATCTGGCCAGGACACCATGTTACACCTCTACTCTTTACGAGAAGTGCCATGAGATTTTTAATGACCACAGAGAGTCAGGACCTCAGTTTAATGTCTCATTCGAAAGGCGGTGCTCACTGACAGTATGGTGTCCGATTCACTATATTGGGGCATTTTTGGATTCACACAGACCACAGGTTGTGCACCTCCTGCTGGCCTCACTAACACCGCTTCCAACAGCAACCTAGTTTTCCCATGTGGTCTCCCATCCAGGTGCTGACCAGGCTCAGCCCTGCTTAGCTTCAGTGGGTAACCAGTCTTGAGCTGCAGGGTGATATGGCTGTGGTAAAAGATGGGGTCACTTACTACACAAGCTAACTGCAAATCAAACCCAAACAATAGTGAATGATATGTGTTTAGGACAAAGCTGTCAGAGCAGAATAATATTGGCTGTTTGTGTGATGATGACCAACATCATTGACACAGCCAGACTCTGAAATCATGTATTGGAGAATTTAAAAGCAGCATCTATTAGCTGATCCATCAGCGGATCAATGACTAATATTTCTGCACAGTTAATCCAATAGATGTGGCTTTCATATGCTCTAGTGTAGGTGCATCAATGAGCTTTCTGGCCAATCAGACATTTCCACTGAGCATGTGAACACAACGGCCAGTCAGCCTATCAGACTTGCATTCTCATTGGTTGTAGTTACATGTGGTGTTGAGTCGGCCTACCAGTCCAGAATATTTAACATGCAATATGTTTGCTTTTTGTCAGCAGAGTGTCAGTGAGCTTCTTAGATGCATTGTTCAGTAGAACTCCCTAACTGCATCAGAACAGCAGAGTCACTCGCTACTTTCAAGAAACGACTAAAAACCCAACTATTTAGTCTCCACTACACTTCCTAATCTGCAATTGCCTCTCAGAATATCACACTAACTGTACAAAAAAAAAAAAAAAAAACTACTAATACTTCCCTTCTTAGACTTTACAGACCTGAAACTTGTCTATAGCACTTATTCATTGTTGCTCTTGGTTGTGTAAATTGCTTCCTTGTCCTCATTTGTAAGTCGCTTTGGATAAAAGCGTCTGCTAAATGACTAAATGTAAATGTAAATGTAAGTGTAGTTACCACATAAAGGCTGCCAAGTGCTAATTCCCTGCAGATTTTCCCATGATCGCAGACCGATATGTTTGCAAACTTGTTAACTTGCAGCATACTAAAATCAGGCTCAAAATCCTGTAGTGTGAACAGGCAATAGTACAAATAACTGATGTAAAAATGCACTCCACTTGTGAGTACTACTGAAAATCCAATCAAGAACAGTTTCATAAAAGTCAACCATTTTCTCAATTTGGATGATCCATTCCACCTGGATCATGTACATCATAATAACGAAATCTAAATCTGAAGCTATGTCTATGCAACTTAATGAGTAATAGAATCAGCTGACTTACCACATGGTGCCTAACAGTGCCCCCTTTTTCTGTCTCTTGTAGGAGGATAGTCAAAAGCTCCAGAACCTGTCTGACTCCATTGAGGAGGGCACCATGCCTCCAGAGCTGGCAGACGTCATCAAAAGGCTATGGAAGGATGCAGGCGTGCAGGCCTCTTTTGATAGAGCTGCCGAGTACCAGCTGAACGACTCTGCTGGATAGTGAGTAAAACACTCAAAAGGCCCAGCAACACACATAAAGTTGAATTGTGCCTGAGGAAGCGATTAGACCATGCTTATTTGATGTTGAATGCCGTTTTCATGCTTTGGTGACTTTCAGTACTTTAGCAGATGAATAATTCAGGTGTGTCTGTACATGAATTGCTGACTCATCTCCCACAGCTACTTGAACGAAATGGACAGAATCTGCAAACCTGACTACCTTCCCACCGAGCAGGATGTGCTGAGATCTCGAGTCAAGACCACTGGTATCATTGAGGAACAGTTCGGTTGCAAAGAGCTCCACTTTAGGTGTGTCTTACCAGACTGAGAGGATGGAAGCAATAGTTGGTTCAAACTTAGAGCTACCAAAATTGGTTCTTTAATGAAATTTGGATAGGTTTTAGCTGGTCTTGTTCTGCACAACAATTTTTTCTCCCCTCTGGATGCTGCAGGATGTTTGATGTGGGTGGCCAGAGGTCCGAGAGGAAGAAATGGATTCATTGTTTCGAAGGTGTGACTTGCATCATCTTCTGTGGAGCTCTTAGCGCTTATGACATGGTGCTGGTAGAAGATGATGAAGTGGTAAGTGCTGATCTTCAGCCAACACTTTTAAAAAATGTGGATCTTTATTGGCATTGATGGTTCCATGAAGAACATTTAAAATAACTTTTAATATGGTCTTCACACTAAGACAAAATTGCTGAGAAGTGTTCACTGGGCAACCAAGAATGGAAAAGAACAATAAAATGGATAAATAAATCATTTGGAACAGGGGTGTCTAAACTTGGTCCAAGAGGGCCGGTGTCCTGCAGATTTTAGCTGAAACTTGCCTCAACACATTTGCAAGAGGTTTCTAGAAAGCGTTGTAAGAGCTTTATTAGCTAGCCCAGGTGTGTCTGATTGGGGTTGGAACTAAACTTGGCAGGACACCGGCCCTCCAGGACAGAGTTTGTACATCCCTGATTTGGAACCTATAGTTTTACGGATAAAAAAGGTCCTTATAGATTCAGCATTCAACATTAAATCCACTTTTTGGTTTGATGTTGATGTTTGCGGCTCAAGTACTGCATTTCAACTTATATTTGCCTTCTTGTTCCTCATGCTTCTCCCAGAACCGCATGCACGAGAGTCTCCATCTCTTCAACAGTATCTGCAATCACAGATTCTTCGCCACAACTTCCATTGTGCTTTTCCTCAACAAGAAAGATCTCTTCCAGGAGAAGATTAAGAAGGTCCACCTGAGCATCTGCTTCCCTGACTATGATGGTGTGTTGTCTCTTTACAAATAAATATTCTACAATTCCACAAAAACAACACAAACTATCATTCACAGCTATTTTACACTCTTCCAGTTCAATCCAGACCACTCTTTTATGAATATGGCTCTCAAGCTACAGAATGACAAAAAGCCCCATAAATGCGTTCTAATATAGGTCTATATGAATCAGATGAAGCTTTGTGTGAGCAGACTAAAATTTAAATTGTTATAAACTTGATTTACCCAAGGTCTCATTGGCAAGTTCATGAGAGACAATGTATGATTCAGATCCTTGCAATCAACTTAATGAACTATCCAACTCAAACCAACTGCAATGCTAAACAGCACATTCAGTGAGACGTCTATTAGTGAATAATGACTTCAATTTTGGTCTCCTACTGGATTGGCTTCTCGTGGCCTTTTGTAATAATTTTGCTTTCTTTTTAAAGCTTGACAATCATTTACTATACTTTTATTGAATGGAATTGTCTAGGCTTAGAGTGTTCAATTGTGCTCCTGGTTGATCGTTGCAATGCATACCTGGTTCCGGTGTGATTAGCTAAGGTTGGAGCTTAACTTTGCAGTACATTCCTCTCTAGGTTTAGACACCCCTGGTCTTGGGCATGGGTTCCTAACCTTGGTAGACCCAGCAGTGTTAATTTTTGATATCACTATAATGGGACACAAAATTCAAAACATCAGCTTGTTAGTAAAGACTCCAAGACTTTTACATGTTGTATAAAAATGTGATTTTGGATGTACTCCATGACCAGAATCGGAAACTGTTCAAAGGCACGGGTGCCCAAACCTTTTCCTGAAGATCTACCTTCTTGCAATGTCCAGCTCCAAATACACCAAAATCATCTTATTAAGATCTTAAGAAGCAATTGATAAGGAGTATTAGAGCAAGAATGAAACAGTTCAGGTTGGTGTATCTCTGTGAAAAGGACTGGAAATTGCTGGTTAATGGTATTATTTAGAAAAGAATCATCTTAGCATAATAGAAATAGTCAAAAACCAACTGTTTAAGTATCTATATGTGCTTTGTTTGAAATCGGAGGCAATTGAAAATAACAATAAATATCCCTATTTTTAGGTCCAAACACATATGAAGATGCAAGCAACTACATCAAGACTCAATTTCAAGACCTGAACATGAAGAAGGGAGTGAAGGAGATCTACTCACACATGACCTGTGCCACGGACACAAAGAACGTCGAGATTGTGTTTAACGCCGTGACAGACATTATCATCAAAGAAAACCTTAAGGACTGCGGTCTGTTCTAAACACCATCCACTTTTTCAAAGGTATGTGCTCTAGCAAATATAAAGCAGATTCTTATGGTTAACCTCGAACTTTATATGTGATGTTCAAACAAAGTTGCAAGCCCTTTAATGGCAAAACATGAGGGAGTGATCCCAGATGAATAGCTACTCAAGCAACCTCATTTTGCATTTAATTATCAATGCATTGTTCCCACACCTAGATTGTTGTCTGTTCTATTAATTTATAAATAATCTTCTGCATTTTGTTTCCAGATCTTTCAGCCCCATCCCCACCTAAATGATTGGATTTACTCTGGTGAAGCTGCCACAGTAATAAAAGAACATCCACAGGTGGCATGAAAGTGAACTCTACAGCAAGCAGTCAAGTGTGCTAAGTGGATCCCCGGCCAAAACAACAACCTCCACATCCCAACCAAACCACAAAGACTAGATCCAGATTAGACTAAATGGCCTCTGCTCTCCAAAAAGGACTCTAAATACATTTTGACCAACTGTTCAAGTCACTAATACAGTCAGTAAGAGAAGGGTTACCAAAGAAAGGGGACTTTTGATGCTATGAGTTAATGGCGCTTGTAGAGAAGCTTCCTCTCATTGTGTTTTAAAGTCAAGCCTATAGAGGTTGGGCTGTTAGATGTTTTATTTTTCCATTCATTTCCAGAGAAAGAAAAGTAAATTTAATGCAAAATAACTTTGCTGTATAAAAAACACTGTAGTGGGAAATCAGATCGCAATTAGAAAGTTCTTTTATGTACAGTGAGTAAAAAACGTGCATATAAATCAGCAAGACCTGATTGTTTGAAATTAACCGGCTCACAAAATATGTGAAAGACTTTTCTTTTTCAGCCCCAAACACAGTAGGGTGGTGCGTTTTTGTAAATAAGAGTAGGCAAATAAATTCTATATGAAATATAATATGGAAACCTAAATATATATATATATATATTTATGATACAGTATTACAGTAACAGTGAAAATTCTAGAATGGCCTGTTGCTTTGTTTTAAACCTGAGGTCTGAATTTGTGGAGATGTTCTGGAATGTAAATGTAGGCACATGAAATAAAGACTTGCATCAATTCCACTGGTTGCTGGTGTCCGATTACCATTATGTACTGCTATAGTCTCACCATTAGCGCTACTGTAATTGCTCATTTTTACAAAACAATGACCTTACTTTATGTTGGTTTAACAGGGGTTTTCAAACAAATTAATTGTTGTTGTAAACATTATGTTTAACCCCAGGTAAAAGAAACCTACACTCAAAAATGAAAACAAAAACATCAACCTATTATGAAACACAGGGGAATTAATACACAGGATTCATTTGTTCAAATGCAATGTGAAACATGAATCAAAATGTGACACAGGGTTAAATATTTCAAACGTCAAAAGACTTTCCAAGTGTGAGCTAATATTGAATGAACCACAGTACAAAATACTCTTTCTGCTAAAATTATTATATAATCAAAAGGAGGTGACAGCTAAAAAGTCCATATATCAAACAAACTAATACACAAACAAACTAAAATAAACACATTTAGGGCCACAGACACAATCTGGAAAACAAATGGAATAGTAGGAAATGGTTAAACCAAAAATGGCAATTGCGCATTTGTAACAGATCAAAGACACAGTCTCATTAATATAAGACAAATAGTAAAATTTGGTTTGAATTTCCAAAATAAAACATCATTATTTTTGAAAACACTTTAAAAAAATGTTGGATTCCACACAACACATTCATGTTGTCCTAATATAAATCAATTAGGTTTTTACAAATTTAGGTGAATTGAAGTTGAAAAGAATTAAGTTGTCCATAAAAACTGAAAAATTGTGTTGTTTCAACTCATTTTTAAAAAGTAGTTTAAACAAGCAGCAAAAAATAATATTTTCGAGTGCTCCAATGATGATATAATCCTGAATCTATCACCCAACTATTTAAAAAATAGATTTAACAGAATTTCAAATCCTTTTTAAAGACCTTTTCAAGACCAAATAAAGACAATGCTTTGAATAATTTGACTGGAGCGCAACACAACAACATGTTATCTACAATAAACATATCTAACAGCCAAGAATAAGAATCAGAAATACTTCAATGTACAGTTGAAGTCAGAAATATTAGACCCCCTGAATTATTAGCCTCGTTTTTTCCCCCCAATTTCTATTTAACTGAGAGAAGATTTTTTTCAATACATTTCTAAACATAATAGTTTTAATAGCTAATTGTTAATAACTGATTTACTTTATCTTTGCCATGATGACAGTAAATAATATTTGACTAGATATTTTTCAAGACACTTCTACACAGCTTAAAGTGACATTTAAAAGCTTAACTAGGTAAATAGGATTAAGTTAAGGTAATTAGGCAAGTTATTGTATAACGATGGTTTGTTCTGTAGACTATCAAAAAAATAAATAGCTTAAAGAGCCGATTAACTTTTACCTTAAAATGTTTTTTAAAAAATAAAAACTGCTTTTATTCAAGCTGAAATAAAACAAATAAGACTTTCTCCAGAAGAAAAAATATTATCAGACGTACTGTGAAAATCTCCTTGCTCTGTTAAACATTATTTGGGAAATATTTAAAAAAGAAATAAAATTCAAAGGGGGGTAATAATTATGACTTCAACTGTATATGTTTCTTGATTGCATATGCATTGTCTTAAAACTGCAGCAATTTTCGACATGGTATAATGAACAAATGCATATTTATATGATCAGAAAACAACCATTAAAAAACAAAAACATTTCGAAATAATACTCTGTGGAATAGTGTTCGGAAAATAACCAAGCCTTTAGTATATTGTATGACCTATTGTGCTATAATTATTGTTAGTTGTTCACACTAAAATAGTTCAAATAAAGCACAGTGATTTTCAACCAATTGTTGAATGAATCCAGACTAATTCATTGAGTGCTCCAATATATCAGAACTGGAATATCCTTCTTTTTTTTTAGGTAATACACAAACAATGGCTTGGAAATCTAAGAAACACTGGTGACTCAAGCTATGTGGCATTTTGCAAAATCTTACGGACAACTAACTTGAAATTGACATTTTCGTATTAAACACAGATATTACAAACCAGATCACATTGTGTCAGTTTGTTTAAAAAATACTGAAATCCACAGGATTAAACAAAAAGCACATCAAACAAGCCTGTCCTCCGTCAAGACGGGAAAGCAAATCCAGCAAATAACCATGCTCTTTTTTTATGCCACTTATTCCTACGTGTCCTCGACCCAACATAGGTCTGTTTTTTGCATCGTACATAAATCGTAGAGAGAATTATTTGTTTTCACCTTTACTGCTCCTCAATAGATATAAAAATAGCCTGTTGCTGAATATAAAGTGTGTTTTATAAAGTGAGTGATCATGTATGATAAGTGAAAATGAAGCTATTGCTGTGTGTGTGTTTTGAAATATTAAAAAATGAAACAATGTACAACTATAGCTCTCACACTAATTCAGTTTCACTCAGCATTGAGACTTCCTTCTTAGAGCTTCAGAGGTGTGTGTGCATTTATGGGTCAAAGATAAAAAGGGCTTTTCAAACATTCAATAATAAAAGTGTAAATGATGTCTTCAAATGTGTTTTATTAAATGTTTTTCTGAGCAAAAATATAAAATATAATAAACATTATTGGGCAAAATGGTGGCTCAGTGGCTAGCACTGTCACCTCACAGCAAGAAGGTCGCTGGTTCGAGTCCCTGCTGAGTCAGTTGGAGTTAGCATGTTCACTCCATGTTCTCGTGGGTTTCCTCCGGGTTCTCCGGTTCCCCCCCCAGAATCCGAAGACATGCGCTATAGGTGAATTGAATAAACTAAATTGGCCGTAGTGTATATATGTGAATGTGAGAGTGTATGGGCGTTCCCTAGTACTGGGTTGGAGCAGGAAGGGCCTGCGCTGTGTAAAACATATGCTGGATAAGTTGGCGGTTCATTCTGCTGTGGGGACGCCTAATGAATAAAGGGACTAAGTTGAAGGAAAATGAATGAATGACCATTATTTTACCGTGATTCACAGAAGACATCCACTAAAATGTCATTTAGTGTGACTAATTTATTACAAATAAATCTTGTCAGGCATGTTTAGAACAAGAGTCATTTGATGACGTATTAAGACTGTTAAGGATCACAGTGTAGCACCAAAACACTCATTCATTTTAGATTAAGTCTTTATATCTCTATCCTTCAAACTATTATTTGTCAATAATAATTCAAAATATACTAATTTACTATCTACTTAGAAATAAGTGTTTATTTATATTTTTAAAAGTGTTAAATAATAACAATATGTTTTCAGACCTTTTACACTCACTGGCTGCTTTATTAGCTACACCTGTCCAATTGTCTGTTAACGCAAATTAACAGTTTCTAATCAGCCAATCACATGGCAGAAACTTAATGCATTTAGGCATGTAGACATGGTCAAGACGATCTGCTGCAGTTCAAATCGAGCATCAGAATGGGGAAGAAAGGGGATTTAAGTGACTTTGAACGTGGCATGGTTGTTAGTGCCAGACGGGCTGGTCTAAGTGTTTCAGAAAATGCTGATCTACTGGGATTTTCATGCACAACCATATCAAGAGTTTACAGAGAATGTTCCGAAAAAGGGAAAATATTCAGTGAACTGCAATTCTGTGGGGAGATTGGAAAAACATTGCCTGGTCTGTTGAGTATCGATTTCCGCTTCGGCATTTGGATGATAGGGTCAGAATTTGGCATCAACAACATGAAACATGATCCATCCTGCCTTTTATCAATGGTTCAGGCAGGTGGTGGGGGTGTAATGCTGTGGGGGATATTTTCTTGGCACACTTTGGGCCCATTAGTACCAATTGAGCATCATGTCAATCCCACAGCCTACTTGAGTATTGTTGCTGACCATGTCCATCCCTTTATGACCACAGTGTACCCATCTTATGATGGCTACTTCCAGCAGGATAACGCACCATTTCATTAAGCATGAATCATCTCAGACTGGTTTCTTGAACATGACAATGAGTTCACTGTACTCAAATGGCCTCCACAGTCACCAGTTCTCAATACAATAGAGCGCCTTTGGGATGTGGTGGAACGTGAGATTTGCATTATGGATGTGCAGCCGACAAATCTGCAGCAACTGCGTGATGCTATCATGTCAATATGGATCAAAATCTCTGAGGGATATTTCCAGTATACCTTGTGGAATCTATGCAACGAAGGAGTAAGGCAGTTCTGAAGGCAAAAGGGGTTCGGTACAAGTAGAAAAAGTACCTAATAAAGTGGCCGGTGAGTGTGTGTTAAAACTTATAGGTTTTGACATTGATCTGTTACACTGAATAACAATTTCACCCATATTTAAATTTTACGAAAGGTTATTTGAAGCTTTAAAGTAGACACTTTATATACTATGTATAAACAATCATTTGTAAATGTTGTGATCATCTCATCCTTGACCCATTCACAAACTTAAAGACAGCTCAAATCGTTAATAAATGAGTTGAATAATTACTATGAAAAACATGCTAAAAGCATAACTTCCTCATAAGATCTGATAACGCTGTTATTAATAAGATTTACACTGAATTCTTACAGTTTGCTACTTTAAAATAAAAGATATTTGATCTAATGAGGTTATAATGCAGTCACACTTTACAGTCATTTGTGAATTTTGATCTGTGCATAGTGGTCTATCTTGTTATGCGTATAAAGGAAATTAAAAAAAAATTTAAGGTGTTTAATTGGCAAATAAATGAAGACTAAAGAGAAGTTGCAAAGACACAGTGTCATTAAGAAAGGATAAAGGGAAATTAAAGAGTTGCTGAATTCCTGTCCATGGCTGCAGGTACCACATTTAATGTAAAGAGTGTGTGCTGTGCAGCAGGTTGGCAGTTTCTCCAGCTCATTCCCCACTGGTGAAACTGGACAAACCAGGAACAACCAGCAGGTGAAACTCTGAAATCTTCCAGAAATAACTGTAAAAAAAAGAAAAAGAATTGTTATCAATAACAATACACACGGGTTACATATAAAACATCTGGAATAATATGGATCTGGATTAATAAATATACATTGTGGTCAAAATATGGGTGAAATATAAACATAATAATAAAATAATTCAGTGTAATATGTAAGATGTAAACATACTTATTCTGCCCTCTACATATTTAAATATTTAAAAAAAATAGAGGAAAATACTAGATTATAATATATTTTACAAGAATAAAAAATAATTTGGTGGCAAATAGGTCAAAAATAAACAAAACACAGAGTGAAATGTCAAAATAAACACTTAAATTTGCAATACATTATACAAATTATATCCTATTAGTACTTACCTATGCAGACGCTTGATGACGCTTCAATAGAGCCCACACTCAATGAGGTTATTCTTGATGATGACATCAGTGACTGCATCAAACACAAACTGTACATTCTTGGTGTCTGTGGCACAGGTGAAGTGTGTGTAGATCTCCTTTGTCTCCTTTCTTTTGTTCAGATCCTCAAACTGGCACTGAATGTACGCCGCTGCTTCCTCGTACGTGCATGTCCCTGAGTGTCACATGACAGATTAAAGTTTAAAGCTCTGTTTTCAACATGCGTTTTCAGTTATCTGTCAACAAACGGCAAGCAAAGGCGCATCACTGTTTCTGATATTAACTGATATTAAACTGTTCAAATGATTCTTGTTATCACTTGAGGTTGGATCACCTTCCCTTTTGTTTAATCAAGCTCTACAACACTACACTTTTAGAAGTCTGCGTAAGATCAGGGTGTGTGTTTATTGCACATATTGACAATGTTTTGGTTTCTTTTTTCTCAAAAAGTATCAAACCCTGTTTAAATGGACAGATAAAAACTTCTTAATACCAGGTGTTAGGCATACTGTATGATGTGTGATTTTCATGTACCGTTCCAAGTTTGAGGTAAGCAAGATTAAAAAAAACAACAACTAACAACTACATTTTTAAAATATATTTCCCAAATGATGTTTATGAGTGCAAGAAAATCGTTTTTACAGTATTTCTGATTAAATTTTTCTTCTAGAGAAAGTCATATTTTTTTTGATTGGCTAGAATAATATATATATATATATATATATATATATATATATATATATATATATATATATATATATATATATATATATATATATATATATATATATATATATATATATATATATATATATATATATATCCCTATAAGTCCCCATAAAATCAAAACTAACCATATTGATTTTGTTAGCATGTAAACAAACTCATCTGTGCATGTCATTAAGAGAAAAATAAGTTTGCTCTTCTAATCTTTAATTAAAATGAGAAAATGCATTTTCTGCTTTATTTTTTGGTTAAATTGTCAGATTACATATATTTTAGGATTTGGGCTTGGCTCTGTTTACGCAGATCCACTGATGCACGTTCAGTTTTGCCCAGTGGAGGAGGGACGGCAGCATGTCTGAAGTATTTCTTTTAGAGAGGTAATGCTTTGCTTAAAAAGTATTTAAGTCACATAAAGCTGATGTAAATAGTATCGTTTTATGAATGGGTTATATGCACAGACATGTTGTTCAGCCACTGAAATCTTCCGGCGAACGATTGATGTGACTTTTTCAAAAGGTTCATAAGGGACCTTTTTCAGCATTGATAATGTAGATTTATATTCCGTTTAATAACAAAACATAAGTAAATAGAGCTATTCCGCCAAGCCTGCTTTACTGAGGTGAAGTTGTTTTTATATTTACATTTGTTCATTTTTGAACAATGACGCACTCCCTATATTGTTTACCATGCTACTCTGAATATTCAGTCTGAAATAGCATGTAAGTGTGACCTAGTAATAAGTATTCCTGCAGCCCGCTGGCCAACCACTAAGCATACAGTTGTTGCTTTAGGAAAAAGCCTGTGAGAGAGCGAGACTAATGAGAGTGTGATGACAAGTTTTGCTCGCTAACTATATAACTGAAATTGTGCTAGATATAATACGGTTTTCCATTGGGAATAATAGTACTTTAAAGAAGGGGTCTCTGTCATGTTTATTGTGCGCATTCACAATTTTAGGAGGTGTGGCTTTGGACGACAGGCAAGGGACTGTATTTGACAGATAACCGGTTAGTATTTAGGCAGATCACCTACTGCACCTTTAACAGCACTTAGGAAGTTAATAAATAAGTTCAATGGTGGGCTAATAATTTTATCGATAAGATAATAAATCTGTGAACATTTTTCAAAGGCTTTTGTAGGGGCAAATCAAAGCATCTCAGTGATTCAAAGTTTTTAGTCTAGTTTGGAAAACAACACAAACTCATCATTTTGAAAAATGTTATTTATCTTATTTATTTTAGTTATTTTAATTCTTATTCTTATTTATTTAATTCAAAAATCTTATGGTCAGACCCAGTAGTACTTTTTATACATTACTGATTTCTTTTACATACACACATTGAGGACCAACCAACATAAGTAAACTTGCAGTGTTTAAAGACAGAGAGAGGCACTGAAACATCTCCAAACCGGCAAGACTCAACTTTCACCCTGAAGGATGACGATCAGCAGACACAAAACAGAGTTTTTTCCACAGCACTTAGACAAGGAAGAGCTCAACTTCTTCATTTTATAACTTTTTATAAACAACCAATAATTCATCCACTCTGCCATTGGCCAAACCTTTAGGACGAATGGCTATGATACTTGTAAAAAAAAAAAGATTCACTAATTATTTGTTGATCCACTTAATTTTAGACTTATTTAAACAGTTTTCTAGGGCTTAACAAAAACAGATGGTTCAGGTTGAATAATTGTCACATTGGTTGTATAAGTCACCAACTTTTCAAGAATAATGACAATATATCTTTAACCTCACCGCAGTATTCAGGGTAGCATATTGTAAGTGGACTTTTCTTGATCTTGTCCTCGAACAGATCCTTCTTATTGAGGAAGAGGATGACGGACGTGTCTGTGAACCACTTGTTGTTGCAGATGCTGTCAAAAAGCTTCATGCTCTCATGCATGCGGTTCTGTAGACAAAACAAAATCAGCATTTGATTCCTTTCTGAAGTTCACATTTGACTGGACACTGATTTGTTTTTGGCAACTGATAGCTGAGAATTCCAAGTGCAAAAAGCCAGAAAAATCTTATAAAACACTCCATGCTGTGATAGAGCTAATAGTTATTTAATTATAGAGCTTCACTGAAATCAATATGTAACCTCAAATCATCCTTGCATGGAAAAATAGTCAGTGTATTTTAAGAAATTGGGTCTCATGAGGAAACTATGTGGCCTTTCCAGAAGCTATGAAGAAAACACTTTAACACAACCAGGACAAGTGGAACATCCCCTGTGGAGGCTATGGGGAAATAAACAAAATCATTTGCTCTGTAACCAGCTTTTCTAACCGATTATAAACTGTTATCATATTTGTATTGCCATATTTTTTGGAATACAGGATTGTCTTTTTTATCATCCACAATGTGCTGCATCCGGCAACCTGAATTCACCAAGTAGGACATAATCATGGATTAATATCTACGTTGATACTGGAACAACATTCCAATCAGCCAATCAAAATGAAGACATACTTTTACCATTTATACTTATATTATTTATATTTATTAACTTCTACATGCTAGCTCTCTGCAACTCTCACATGCGGTCTGGTGCAATATGGCTGGTGGATGAGGAGATAAAAAAAATTGTGATCCAATTTTTTTGACAGACAAAAAAATTGGACGCGGTGTGTTAATGTGATTGGCATAATGTGAGGTCAAATAATTTTTTAATGTGTCAAAATTTCAGACTCCATGAACACACCCTTACATCGTCTCCTAAATACACTGGGACACACAATAAAAAGTATATTTTCCATGTTAAACCTATGATGCACTTTTTAAAAAGGTGTAAAATATGTCTCTGATGTCTGTGTATCTGTAAAGTTTGAGCTCAAAATACTATATAAATATTTTTTATATATCTTTAATATTATTTATTCTTATATTTATTTTTATGACTATAACTGCCCCTTTTAGGATACAAGCCACATTGTGTCGTTTTGCTGACTGTCGCTTTAAATTTAAATGAGATTGTGCTCCCAGCACTCTTGTCAGAGATTATTATAATATAATGATATAAATAATATTATAATATAAATATTTTAATATAAAGTAATACATTTTTACCATTAGAGGCTGGCTATATTCTCACATTGTTGCCCTGCGACTGTGTTTAAACCCCTTATAAAAGTGATTTTTGCATAATACTGTAGGTCCCCTTTAAAATAAGTGTTTGTCCTAACATGACATATGCTGTATTGTAATAATGAAAGTGCCAATTTCAGTTTGGTTTAAAAATGTTTATTTAGGTTTGATGTTCTAAATGCTGTGAAAATGCAGTCAAAGCAACTCAAATTTATGTTTGTTAGTTCATAATGTTTTTTTAGGACTACCAGTTACTTATTTTACATTATTTATGAATTAATTTAGAAAATGGGTCTCATATAAAACCTACATTTGTTTTGTTTTTTCTCAGAAATGTTATTGTGATCCCATAAGATCTTCCTTATTGATAATAAAAGATTGCTTTTTACGTATAAAGCTTTAAATAGTCTAGCTCCTGTTTATATAACCAACCTTCTGTCTCATTAAAATCCAACCCGCTGTTTAAGATCTCAAAACTCAGGGCTTATGGTAGGACCCAGAATAGCAAAGTCCACTAAAGGAGGTCGAGCCAATTCATGTATGGCTCCTAAACTCTGGAATAGCATTCTAAAGGCTTAAAAGGGTTTCTAAAGGCTTACAATTGGTAACACTTTATTTTTATGGTCCATTTGAGTATTAGACTGTCTGCTTAATATCTGTTGATAGTGCTCCTTCAACAGACATTTAAACATTTAACTGACTATAAGAAACTTTGCAAGTACATGTTAACTTACACTAACCCTAACCCCAACCTAACAGTCTACTTATAATCTAATCAATCAATCAACCAACCAACCAACCAACCAACCAACCAACCAACCAACCAACCAACCAACCAACCAACCAATCAATCAATCAATCAATCAATCAATCAATCAATGGCCTTTATTTGTCACATACACTTCCATGTAGTCAAATACACTGTCATGTAGTGAAATAGGACCCCCCCCCCCCGACCATACACAAACATCACATTTCAGGGGATGACAGGTCAACGGGAGGTAGCATTTAGAAAAAGGAAGTAAGATACATTTACTAATCATTACATAATTAGTATTAATGTAATACATACATTAATCTATTGAGAATTAGTTGGCATGTAGATGCAATTTAACTTAATTCAATAATGGACCATTAAAATAAAGTGTGACCTTAAATTTTGTCAAGACAACATGGTAATTTATCATATCAAATAAGCGTCTCATGTGGTTTTAGCTAACCGCCTAACTGTAGGGTTAAGCACCTGTGAGGGAAACTCACCATCTCTTCATCCTCAGCAAGCACCAGGTCATAGTCGCTGAGCGCCACACAGAAGATGATGGCAGTGACTCCTTCAAAACAATGAATCCACTTCTTCCGCTCAGAACGCTGGCCACCCACATCAAACATCCTTTTCGGGAAAAAAGCAGTGTACAGCGATCAGGACACAAAAAAAGAAAGCAAGCAAGAAAGAAAAGGCAAAGACTAACTTGAAATAGAGCTCTTTGAAGGTGAAGTGTGTTTCTACAATGCCAGTGGTCTTGACCCGAGTCCTCAGCACATCTTGTTGAGTGGGTGTGTAGGTGGGCTGTGATATCCTTTCCAGATCATTCAAATAGCTGGACAAGAGACAAATCATAGTGAGCAGTGTTGAGTGAACCACTTCAAAAAGCAACGAAAATGTCAGACTAATTTAAAAGCATTTAGAAGGGCAGTTTTAAATAAATCACCACATTAAAACCTCTTTATTTTCATTATATTAAATGTACTTTATCTAAAGACAACTATAAGCTGGAAAACATAATAAAAAGATGCACCTGTGCTGAAACCGACATGCATACTTTGTGTATAATTTGGATTATTTTATTATATGTTATTCACATTTCTTTATTTATTTTATTATCTTTTATGTCATATTTTATATGTTATGTTACCTCTAACCTGATTTCACCAAGTAGGACATATTCCTGGATTAACATCTACTGTATGTTGATCCTGGCACAACATTCTAATCAGCCAATCAGAATTAAGGGATATGTTTACCATTTATGTTAAGTTTAGGCTTACGGTTAGGGTTATGTACTTCTACATGATTGTTATCTAACTCTTATTTGCCTATTGATTTTGGGAATAATTTACAGTTATGGTTGGGTTTAGGGGTAAGGAATAGGTATGGATTACATTTTCGAACAAAAATGATGTTCCAGGATCAACATAGATTGTAATCCAGAATTTTACTTGGCAAAATCACATTGTACTTGGAAAAATCATGACATGCATCATGTTACTGTTTTATTATAGGATTAAGTCTTCAGTGGCCTGTGATCCTTAAAGGGCATCATGATGTAAAAAGGTTTCTGATGTCCCTAGAGTGTATATGTGAAGTCTCAGCTCAAAAATACCACACAAATAATGTTTTATAACTCTGTGAAACTGTCCCTTTCAGGCTTTGATCCAAAATGTGCAGTTTTGGTTACTGCTGCTTAAAATTCAAATATGACTGGGCTCTTTTCAAAGCCTATGTTGTACCATAGTGGCGGATTCAAAACAGCTCTGTGAAATACTAAAAATGTCAAAACGTGTCTCAGAAGAAGACAGTCAATGAAGACAAAGGTTTTCATTTGCTCATCCTAAAACTCCACATTTATAATGCCTCTTTTGCCGAGTTCAGACTGCACAAGTTTTAAAGTAGTCATGTCACAGTTGTTTTCACACTGCATAACTATTTGGGGCAGCGTTCCATCGCTGCTTTGTTTACACTGCAAGATGGATCGGTGACAGGGTTTCACACTGCATGACTTTACAATAAGAAGAATCGCTGACAACTTTACGTCTCGATATGCAAACTACATCTCACAATCAAACACACGTGAGAAGTGAAACAATGCGAGGTCACATAGCGGTGTTCCCTAGGTTTTCAGCTTTGTGGGGGGATTCCTTTTCATGGTGATTGGCCGATACTGATTACCGTTTCTAATACTCCAAGCTTTATAATGCATTAAGCACATTTTCCTTCTCAGTATGAACCTTAATAGAAGATCTTGCCTTACCTACAGGAATAAATCAAGGATGCTGCATATAATACCTTAAGCACATCTCTTACAACCATTTAGTTGTGAACGTGTCATGGCCAGTAGCAGCTTTACAGAAAATAATTGATCCATTCATTTTGACTTCAGCTTAGTTCCTATATTTATCAGGGGTCGCCACAGCAGAATGAACCGCCACAAAAAAATAATATAACACAAAGATAAATTATTGTTAAGAAAAAAAAAACAAATAATATAATTTGGAAACACTGCAAATGATGAAAGAAGAATTCAACATGACGCAATCAAGAAAAAGTTTGGAGTGCACATTTGATGCATAAGAATTACAATGGACACCTATAAATCTAATACTCCTACTAAAAGGAAATAGGCCTATAAAATGTTTATTGCAATAAATATATTATAAGAAGTTATTATTATTAAATATTCATGTAAAAAAATTGTTTTATTTAGCTAATAATTTCAGCCAGCTTTTAGTGAACTTGCAACATTGTCAAAAACACAGAACTTTCGGTTGCTCTGCTTCTTCAAAAGATCAACCTGCTATTACATCACTGTTTAGATGTCTGATGTCTGTTTAGCTTAGCCTACTCATTCATGATTGAAGTAGGTAAATACAGAGAGATCTAACTAGGCAATTAGACAATCAATTTTTATTACATGCAGTCACTACTGCTTTATTGGTGATTACACTGTTTGAAATGCAACGAGTGTTTAGCCATTTTAGCATCCAACTCCGAAGCATGTAGACTGTCAAACACAAATCCACAAGTTTACATCAACATGCTTGTCCTTTCAAAATATCCAAAACTGTTATCCAATGGTAGCAGTGGCTGTTACCAATTTACTTATGTGTCTACAATCTGCCATCCCTATTCAAACAAATCGTTCTAATGAGGAGAGTCAAAACAGGACAGAAAATCAACTATTAAGTGAAGTTTGGGCTCATCTATCACCGAGCTCAGGGTTCTCTCCCGGGACAGCATGCCAAACTAGCTTAAATAGTCAAGCATTATCTAAGTGTGAACTCTTGAAATTATAGTGAAGTACAAACTCAAAGAACAGCACAAAATAATAGAAAAGCAGTTCATGACCCCTTTCAGTAAAAATCTAAGCAACATCAAACTTTTGAACTTTAGTGTAATTGTTCTCCTAATATTATGTCTGGAATCAATGCAGAAAGCCTGCTGTTTCCAAATTATTACAGTTGCTAAAATAAAGAGGACTACATCATAATGAAAAAGCCCTCTGTTTCTCTCTCACTGGAAGACCTGGTTTGCTGTTGATTATTATCACTGGAAACATTCTTAGTGGCTACCAAAGCTGAAAACAGAGCAAAGTAATGACTATAACATGGAAAAATCTGGGGGGAAAAAAGTTGTGCAATGCAATTGAGAAAGCCACAAATCTCCCCACAGTCAATGCGCTGGAATCCACCAAGTAAAAAAGCGGAGCAAGTTTGCACAAGCAAGATGGCTCTCGATCAACTGTACCTGTGCCTCAAAAAAAACTCATTCAGAAAACTCTCACAAAAATTCACAAAAACTCAATGATTTTATGGACACTATTTGCGAGAATATTTGATACATTACCATCAAATGTTAAAAGCCAAATTAAATCTTTGATTAATTGTTTACTTAAAGCCAAGTGTTCTTTAAACAGTTTACCTAATAACTATTTGAACAGGTAAATATTTATGAAGGTCACTACTATCATATAACAAAGAAAAAAACAGCAATATATACAGTAATATACAGGTATATACAGTTAAAGTCAGAAAAAAAAAAATCTTTTTTAAATATTTCCCAAAATTATGTTCAACAGATGAAGGAAATTTTCACAGCATGTCTGATAATATTTTTTCTTCAGGGGAAAATCTTATTTGTTTTATTTTGGCTAGAATAAAAGCAGTTTTATATTTTTTCTAAACCATTTTAAGGTCAAAATATTAGCCCCCTTAAGCTACATATTTTTCGATAGTCTACAGAACAAACCATCATTATACAATAACTTAATTAAATTAATAACTTAACCTAATTACCCTAACCTGCCTAGTTAACCTTATTACCCTAGTTAAGCCTTTAAATGTCACTTTAAGCTGTATAAAAGTGTCTTGAAAAATATCTAGTCAAATATTATTTACTGTCATCATGGCAAAAATAAATTATATCAGCTATTAGAAATGAGTTATTAAAATAATTATGTTTAGAAATGTGTTGAAAAAATCTTCTCTCCGTTAAGCAGAAATTGGGGGGGGGGGGAATAAACAGGGGGCTAATAATTCAGGGGGGCTAATAATTCTGACTTCCACTGTATTTCAATTACGCTTTCAACACTTATGAAAAAACAGTAATCAAGATTAAACGATTATTGCATCACATGCCCCCCTTTCCAGCAATCTGCATTCATTCCTCTAAAATATACAGGTGTAATAGCAATCTTATTTACAAAAAATAAAAAATAAATACATACAGTATACATTTATGAGTATAAATCAATCAAAATAAAGTTTTGGCTATATAGACAACTTATAATTATTTTAAATAATTGTGATTGCAATAATGAACAAAAAAATGATCATGACTTTTTCCACAATAGAGCAGCCATTAAAGTGTAAACACAAATGATATATTTATATATTATTTGCACACTTTCTGGTTATCGTCAAACATGTTAACATGCTCTAAGGATGTGCACTTACTAGGCTGCAGAATCGTTGAGTTGATACTCTCGTGACCTGACGAAACACATCTGTACTCCTTCATCCTTCCACAGCCGGCGGATGACCCCGGAGAGATCAGCCGTCATCACCCCTTCCTCAGCAGTGCCAGCGAGCACAAACAGCTGACGGGCATCATCCTGATGTTCAACACAAAAACATCACTCTAAAAAACATGACGCATGATAGCTGTCTGTTACTTTCCGCTCTGAAAGTGAAGTTTGTTACTTCTTTCAAATGACTCAAATCAATAATTCATGAGATTGTGAGTGTTTTTTTTATCATCTAAACCAAGTTAATGGCAAGAAAGCAAAAGATTCGCAAAGCTCATTACATTTGGATTGATGCCGAGAGAGAGGCATGTGAATATTTGTAGAGCATATTTCCCACACTCCGCTAGTTTAAGTTTCACTTTGATTCTTTCTAAGTTTAAAATTCATAAAACATTTGATATGACAGTGAATGTCATGGCCACAATAATTTCTGGTTATGTTTTTAAAAAAACATGTATTTTCTGTTCTGAATACTGAAATTTAAAATGTTTTGAAATGCGAGAGAAACTAAAATACAATTGTAATGTTTTTTTTTTACTTTATTTCTGAATGAAATTATGAAATGTGACTTAATACAGTGCATTCGGAAAATATGAATAGTGCTTCACTTTTTTCACTTTTTTTGTTACAGCCTTATTCCAAAATGGATTCAATTCATTTATTTCCTCAAAATTCTACACAAAATACCCCAGAATGACAATGTGAAAAAAGATTTTTTGTTTACATTTTTCAAATTTATTAAATATCAAAAACCTGAAAAATCACATGTGCATCAGTATTTACAGCCTTCGCTCAATACTTTGTTAATGCACCTTTAGCAGCAAATACAGCCTCAAGTATTTTTGAATATGATGCCACAAGCTTGGCACACCTGTCTTTGCGAATTTTTGCCCTTTCTTCTTTGCAGTACCTCTCAAACTCTGTCAGGTTGAATGGGAAGCGACAGTGTACAACCATTTTTAGATCTCTTCCAGTTCCTGCTGCTGAAAAACATCCCCACAGCATGATGCTGCCACAACCATGCTTCACTGTAGGGATGGTATTAGCCTGGTGATGAGCAGTGCCTGGTTTTCTCCAAATGTAAAGCCTGGCATTTACATCAAAGAGTTCAATTTTAGTCTCATCAGACCAGAGAATTTTGTTTCTTATGGTCTGAGAGTCCTTCAGATGCCTTTTGGCAAATTCCAGGTGGGGAGAGGCTTCCGTCTGGCCACTCTACCATACAGGCCTGATTGGTGGATTTCTGCACAGATGGTTGTCCCTCTGTAAGGTTCTCCTCTCTCCACAGAAAAACGCTGGAGCTCAGACAGAGTGACCATCGGGTTATTTATCACCTCTCTGACTAAGGCCCATCTCCCCTGATCACTCAGCTTAGATGGCCGGCCAGCTCTAGAACGAGTCCTGGTGGTTCCAAACAACTTCCACTTATGGATGATGGAGGCCGCTGTGCTTATTGGAACTTTCAGAGCAGCAGAAATGTTTCTGTAACCTTTTACAGCCTTGTGCCTCAAGACAATCCTGTCTCGAAGGTCTACAGCCAATTCCTTTGTCCTAATGCTTGGTTTGTTCTTTGACATGCACTGTCAACCCAGGGACCTTACACAGACAGATGTTTGCCTTTTCAAATTATGTCCAATCAACTGAATTTACCACAGGTGAACTCCAATTAAGCTGCAGAAAATCTCAGGAATGATCAGTGGAAACAGAATGTACCTCAGCTTAATTTAGAGCTTCATGGCAAAGGCCCTGCATATATCAGGTTTTTTATTTTTTTATAAATTTTCAACAATTTCAAACAATCTTTTTTCACATTGTCATTATGGGGTATTGTGTGTAGAATTTTGAGGAAAAAAATTAATTTAATCCATTTTGGAATAAGCCTGTAACATTAAAAATGTGGAAAAACAGTAGCTTTCTACCAACAATGCAATTTTGCCTTTCTTTCTGGGAAATACAGTACAAAACTAATATTTCTGAAAAATCTCTGTGTGTCAAATGTTGTTTTCCTTTAGAGAACCCCTTTGTGTAACATACAAGGTATTACAGTATTTCATTCATGCTGCATTCGGTATTACATTTTGTTGCATTGTTATAATTTTAAAGAATTTTCATCAAGTTACTAAGCTTGTGTAATCTAACAAAATAACACAATAACAGTCAATAAATGAAGCAAGTGTCAGAGATATAAATAAAACATATATTTATTTATTTATATGTTTTACAAATTCCTTTTTAAAGCATGTACTTTCTCATCTGGAATGAAGTTCAGTAAAGGAATTAGTTGAAGTAAGTTTTTTTAAAGTAACTTTCTCAACCTCTTGCTTTGTTTTTGTGTGATTTTTTTTTACAATTATCATTAATTTTGTACATACATTCAAAGTAGACCCAAATTGTCTACTTAAACAATAACATATCAAAAATAATATGATAAAATCTAATTTCTTTCAGTAATTGAGCAATTTAGTGTCGCCCATGGCATTTACATATAGATTTCTTGGTAAAAATGTTTATATGACAAACTGTGAAAATCATCACAAGATTCTTAGTGTATTTAGAAATGCTGAGCAATTATGACGTTAAGGTCTCAGGAAGGCTGAAAAAAAAGTATGTTTTTAAGAACTAAACTCAGAGGGTGATTTTTTAAATCTTATCACTGCACTTAAATTCAGGTAGGGCTGGGCCGATAAGTGATATTAAATCAAATCGCAGCAAAATCTATGGCAATAACAATGATTAGCTCTGGACTTTTTTACTCCATATTGATCTAAGAGCCAATCACACAGCAGAAATGTGCAACAATGGGAATCTAAAAGTGTGTTGATATTAGAGATGTATCAAATTTTTTAGCCACCAACAATTTATTTAATGTACCCTCTAATATGTGTGGCTTCAGTCATTAGCCCCTTTCACACATACAGACCTTTCCGGAAAATTACCGGAAATTTTCCAGAAAGGTTGTATGTGTGAACATGTCCTTTTTGAAAATACCGGTAAATTCGTTCTGGCTATTTTCCGGAAAGAGAAGTTGTAACATTACCGGTAATTAGCCGGAATGCTGTGCTGTGTGAATGCAGAAGGAAGATTGCCGGAAAGAGTGCGTGCACATCTAGAACGTACTGACGTGAGACGTCTGCTTTAGCCAATCAGAACAGTCAGACGCGTTTACGTCCGCGTGGTTTATGAGAATAAAAGCCTTTGAATATTATCCCAGACGCATTTAGCTGCTAGAAGTTAGTCAGATAACATTTATATGTTCTTCTTAATGCCAACTGTGTAAATAATCATCGATAAGATGCTTATGGTAAGCCGCTGTTTGTTTACCTTCAAGTTTTGCTTGTGCCTGTGAGCGCATGCACACGCACATATTATGAACATCTCGACATGCGAAAGTGATCCTCCATATGTTTTCATCGAAGTTGATCACAATACTGATCATCCACAGAGTTTGTAATGTACTCAAATGTTTACAAATACAAGCGCAGCCGTTTAAGGCTCATTTGTGGTGAATGATGTCAGAATTTACCGGTATTTGGGAATGGATGTGTGAACGGTCTTTTCTGGGAAAATTCCATAACGTCCTCGCCTGTGTGAACAGGGCTTTTTTTAAAAATACAGGTAAAGTCGGATATTTACCGTATCACTGTGTGAAAGGGGCTATTGTTAAGGTACTCTTTTAAATCTGTAAACATTAACAAAAAAATGTAAATGTATATTGCTATTGTTCAATATGGAAAATAATTATCAAGACTGCATTTTTGCCATATCGCCCAGCCCTAAATTCAGGCACTACAATAAAAAATAAATGATTATTTGTGGGTGTTTCTTTGTGCATGTTTCAATCTCACCGCTCTTGCCGGATCCCCAAAGTCGATTTTTAATCGTCCCATGGCCCTGATGATGGCAATGATGGACTGGATAGTGTTGCTGTAAACCACCACTTTATACTGCTTGCACTCGTCTTCTGAGTAACCATCTTCATGAATGATCCTGAAGTCAAACAAATCAGATGAGATAACCACATCTACTGCACATCAAGCAAAACAATTAAATCAACCAAATCCAATAAAAACTGCCAGCAATGTTCCCTCGAAGCTGTGCGCATGAATAGCCTCACAAATCTGGTGTTAGTTTCCATGGATCAAAACAAAACCAGCATACAAAAAGAAATCAAGATGAGGGTAATGAACAATTTCGATTTTTAATCAATTCTATATCTACACATTTTATTCAAATATGTTGAAAACACTTTACAATGAGGTTTCATAAGATACTGTGTTAGTTAACAGAGCTAATAATAAACTGTCACATTACTGGAATTTCCAACTCTGATATAATACCTTGAAAAAAATGATATTTGATACCAGTTTCGATACTGTGCTGAACAAATTTTCAACAATAAATGTAGGGCTAAACATAATATCGTTTCAGCATCAATATCGCAATGTGCACAAAATCTGCAATGTTGAGTTGAAATTGTGTAGTTTGGGATTATATATATATATATATATATATATATATATATATATATATATATATATATATATATATATATATATATATGCATACATACACATACACATACACACACACACACACACACACACACACACACACACACACACACACACACACACACACACACACACACACATACATACATACATACATACGTACATATATAAAAGTCTTTGCAGTGTTATTTTAAGTTTGGCTTTTTTTCTGTACCTAAATAATATAAAACAGTAAAGCACTTTTTATTTCCCTCTTATATTTGCATATTATATTTCATGCATGATTTGTTCCCTTACAAAATTATGCCAATCAATCAATACATTGTTTTCAAATAGGGCTATTCAATCCATCTAGTGAAATTGTATTTATATCGCAATATCGCAGAAAACAAAATATAGCACTGTCATACTTTTTGCAGCCCTAATTAAATGTATATCAGGTACGTCAGCAGTCCTTAAGTTCAAAAGGCAATAAATGAAAATAAATAAGTGCAATCTCATCTTATTTTTTTGATTAAAGCAGATAAAAGCAAACATGTTCAAATCTCAATATTATTATTCACAATTATTATTATTATTCATTATTCTTGAACTACAGTAATGTCAACAAATGAAACCTTATTGCGAAGCGTTACCAAAGTACTTATTATATAAAATTATTTTATATATTGATTCATTTCAGTTTCGTCATTTAATGCATTTGTGTAATGTGGCTGTGTGTGTGTGTGTGTGTGTGTGTGTATTTGGTAAAGCAATTTAATTGAAAACAATAACATAATATACAACAATACTAATACATCAGGATTATAAACAAACCTAATTGCACTGACTTTAGTAAAAAAAAGTGTTCATTATTTATTTACAATATTTATTATAGTAACATAAACATTAACAATAATTATGTTTATGCTGTAATAATTAATGGAATATACATATGCATAAATTAAAGACTAATATAATCATAAATATCACTTCCCTTGTATCTTCCTTTAGTCTCTATATATACGATTTATATACGACATGCATGTTAGAAATGAACAATATATGAAAAATCTGACATTGCAAACTTTAGTTTTTCTGCAATATATATTGAAGTCAGAATTATTAGACCGCAGTTTCTGTTTAATGAAGAGAAGATTTTTTTCAACACATTTCTAATCATAATAGTTTTAATAACTCATTTCTGATAACTGATTTATTTATCATTGCCATGATGACATTAAATAATATTTTACTAGATATTTTTCAAGACACTTTTATACAGCTTAAAGGGACATTTAAAGACCTAACTAGGTTAATTAGGTTAACTAGGCAGGTTAGAGTAATTAGGCAAGTTATTGTATAACAGTGGTTTGTTCTGTAGATTATTGAGAAAAAAATATAGCTCAAAGGGGCCAATAATTTTGCCCCTAACATGCCGTTTAAAAAATTAAAAACTGCTTTTATTCTAGCCGAAATAAAACCAATAAGATTTTTCCCAGAAGAAAAAAATATTATTAGACATACTGTGAAAATTTCCTTAATATTTTAAAAAGAAGAAAAAAAGGAGTCTAATAATTCTGACTTCAACTGTACATATATTCTCATTTTTTTAATACATCTATACTTATGCGGTGGCACAGAATTAGACCAGCATCGCACGCGGCAGGACATCACATATTGGTTAAAATTCGGCAAAGTAAATAATAATAAGTAAATAATATTTTATTTTATATATTAAATTTTTATTTTATAATACTATACAACTTAACTTGACCTTTAAAGGCTTAACTAGGTTTATTAGGTTATCTAGGCAGGTCAAGGTAATTAAGCAAGTTATTGTATAACGATGGTTTATTTTGTAGACAATCTGAAAAAAATTAGCTTAAAGTGGCTAATAATTTTGTCCTTAAAATGTTGTAAAAGAAAAAAATATTATTAGACATATTGTGAAAATTTTTGCCGTTAAACATATTTGGGAAATACTTAAATAAGAAAAAAAAATCAAAGGGGGGCTAATAATTCTGACTTTAACACTATATATATATATATATATATATATATATATATGTGTGTGTGTGTGTGTGTGTGGGGGGGGGGGTGTTTATTTATAAAATATATTTACATATAATATTTAATCCAAAGCAAAATGACATACAATTAATAATTATAAAATCAAATAAACAATCACAACTCCATAACAATGATATATCATGGAGAATAAATGGTCTACTGTGCATCACTGCTTTGAACATTCTGGAAGGTTCAGCACACAAAAACTAGAGGGAACATTGACTGCCAGCCTCATTCTTGCATATATCATCATATGACATAAAACCGAAAAAAACAAAACACTCACTTCATCTGCTTAACGATAGTACTCTTCCCTGATTCCCCAGCACCTAAAAGAGAACAGCCAACAGAAAGTGTTGTTGATGAGGTTGATATGGATAAATGCAGCTTATTGTCCTGACCCTGAACATCACACGCTCAGGAGAAGGTCTGCATTAGATGAATAGAAGCTTTCAACCTCTGCCTCCCACATCACAAGCCCAGCATGAGCCGCAGAACGAGCTCTCTATTTCGGGTTGCGCTTGCCATACGGTAAGATTAAATGCCCTAAAGATGAAAGCTTTTTCTGATGTTCGTTCCCCCAGCCCAAGTGTTTGTGAGGACAGCAGAAGCCACCATAGGTGAGCTTTTTATAAACCCAGTCAAATGACTCACTTGGGCGGCTTGTTAACTAACACACACAAAAAAAAACTAAAAAAAAATTGGATAAATATCAGCAAACAGGCCAAAAGATGCGTGGTGTATTAGTAATGTTATCTGGTATTGTGATTCTCAGTTGAAGAGCGAAATGAAGAACGAGAATGAATAGGACATATTTTTAACATTTATTCGCTAATTAGCAGGCTTTATAGGACTTATTTTAGCACATATTGAAGTCTGCTACCTAAAAAGATACTTTTAGATTGTTCAAAACATGCCATTCTGATTAAGATTCAATCTTCAGCATCTGAATTCATTTCATGTTTATTTATATAGACCTTATTTTTCACCTATACGAGCATTTGCAGCCATTGAAATCTTTTTGGCTCAAGACGTCTGGTGGGTCTCATGTCTTTTTAGACATTAAAAATAGCTTGTTATGTTGCTTTATGTTGCAAACTGATATTTTCATATTATATTTTTATTCTTTTATGCAATCATGAAAATACTTGTTTGTAGAGCAAGTAGTTTGACCGTTTTCTGACGTTTATTTTTCCTAATCTCCCATAGACAACTGAATTGGAAGTTCTAAAACAATCTCAAAAAAATCACGCTTCCACATCGCAGAATAACGTCAATGGCACTTTTCACAATTATTATTATTCCAAAGCAGCTTTACTAAAGGTGCAGGTTATTACATTACAATCAAAAATCAGAAAGAGCTAAGATATTGTGTATAAGGTGGACAGTACACATTATATTAATAATCAACCTGCAGTTACAGAGTTATCAAAAAAGTGATGTGTATTTATATGATACATTTTCAATGAAGTTGTCTGGTCATTGCAATATTTAAGAACAATTAGTTTTTTTGTGTAATGCCTATCACACTTGCTTTTCATTTGTACGTGGTTGCATGTAGTAAGCATGCAAATAGAATTTCCAAAATAAATAAGTCTCTATATTTTACACACACATTATATCAGGGGTTCCCAAACTTTTTAGCCCACGACCCCTAAAATAACAATGCCAGTGACTCATGACCCTCAAACTCCTCGGAGGTGGTTATAAATACACAAACATTGGGCCTATTTAAACTCGAGCATATTGACAACACACGAAAAAAGTGCAACAGTCTAACAACCATATAATTTTTATAGTCATTTATTATTTTGTTTAATTTAATATTACCCTCAACTAAAGAGGCACAATGTTTTCAGCACAAGACTATTTTTGTTTTTTTCAACATTCAATATTCAGTTGTGGCCTGTATTTATTTTGATTGCTATAAAGGTGTCAGAAAATTTACCCTGGAGCTATAAAATCAATCTGCTGCAGCTGACGCTATTTGCGGTGTTGTTAATCTACATAAACAAACCAATCTTATGAAAAAAAAGATCATTGAATGGCCTTTTTAATTTGCATGTTGTTGTTTTTTACTAATAAAAAAATAGAATTTTTATCTTTTTTTATTGACTTTTAAAAATCACCAAACAACACCGCCTTTGTCCCGCGACCCTCCATGGGGGTCCCGAATCTCGATCCCCCACTTTGGGAACCACTGCATTACATAAGGGATATAACCTACAACAATAAGAAATTATTTATTTTTTTGTTTTGTTTTATTTTTTATGGTAATGCTTTATTTTAAGGTGTCCTTATAACACTTATTCCATGCATTTACTATAGTAATTACAATTAATTATTACTAATTATATGGAAACGACCTTAGACTTAACCCTTTACAGTAATCAAATGTAGTTAATATTACTGACTAGTTAAAGAAATAGGTTTTGTAACAACAAGGACATTTTAAAATGGTGCAACCAAATTTCATTTCATTTTTAATATAAATTATTTATTATAAAATTGCATATAATGTTATTTATTTATTTATAAAATAATCTAATATTTATTTAATTATGTCAATTTGCTTAGCAAAATTAGGAGTTTTCTGCATACAAAATACCTTTTCATTCATTAAAAAAATCCAATGCATCCATATTTGTTTAAACATAGTCAATTTGGTCAAGTGTTCAAAATTAAATGAATTTTATTAAATAATTATTAAAAAATACAAAATTAATGAATAAATAAGCATATATATTTGATATGTATATTTTATTTTACTTTTTGTCTACAGTTAAATGCAGCAAGTCCACTGTCGATATGTTCTGCTAGCGTCTGAGGTGTGGAATGCTGCCGTATTAGCCCAAATTTATGGCAGGGAGAGGGAATGACTGTTGGTCTTCGGCTGGAGAATTATGTGGAACATGTCTTGAACCACAGGCATGTTGCAAATGAGAGATCCACAGCCAAAATGTCCCCAAATCTGATAATACCTCGGCACAAGAAAAAGGTCAATGGAGATATCATAGGCTGATGAATGTTGAGTGAACATTTTTCTCAGTTAGAAGTACAACAGAAATGTATTTGAGTAAAAAAACTATTACAATGCAGCATATCGGAAGACTTAAAACACAGCCCTAAAGAGACACTTTATCTTTTACACTCTCTTGATTTTAAGGCTGCACAATATTGGAAACACCTGATATTGCAATATTTTATTTTTCTGCCATAAATATTAAAATAAATTAAAGCAATCTTGATTTTGCTTTACAGTTTAGATGTTTGAACTAGAAACCAGACAACAAAAACATTTTGCATAAATCACATTAGATTTAAAATATAAATATAATATATAATAATATATAAAGTCATTAAAAACAATTCTGTAGTTCCTGGTCAAATATAATTTAGACTCAACATTGCATATCTTGCAATGTGACTATTGCAGGGGTTCACATTGAGATATTGACGCTGAAACCATACATTGTGCAGCCCTAGTTGATATGATCCCAAATTCATGATATAATGCAAGAATTATCATGATCATTTATAAAGACTAAAATTGGTTTGAGTATACATTCAAAAGTAAGATGTAATGCTGCAGCCAACAAAATAATATTTTTTTTCTAAAGTCAGTTTTATTTCTGTTAAATAAGGAAGAAAAATGGTCTTTCCTCATTCTTTAAACATGTATTTTAACATTAAATATGTATTTTTTAACAAGACACAAACTCCACATCCCAGTTTGACACATCCATTATGTGTAGAGCATTAATTGATTTTCATTTATACATCCAAGATTTAGTTAGTGTATTTTTACTGAATTCTGCATTTCCATCCATATCTTTGTTTGTTTGTTTTTTTGCATTGTGGAAATCGTAAGACCCTGTTTATGTGTGCTGTATAAATGCCTTAATTTGACTGGTTAAAGAAAAACTTCACAAAAAAAAAAAAGATTTATGTCACTATTGCATAATAATAGAATATTTTCTCAAGAATATCCACTCAAAAGATAAAGAAAGTACCTGACTTGACGTTGCTGAATTTAAAGAAATGTAATGGATTTTGTAAGTTGTAGTTTTAGGTGTGTATAATATTTTTTATAGATATTGTTTATACATTTTTTATGTTACTTTCTTGTGATTTAGCAAAGTTTCACAACTAATATCTGCATCATACTGCAACGTATTGTTTATTTTAAAGAAGAAATGCGGACAAATGTACCTCTGGCTACATAATTCCCGCTCTCCAGAAATGTAAAAAGGGTACATATCCACAATGAGTCTGTGTTGTTTTTTTCTTAGACGCAACAAATAAATTGCATACATGACTACACTGTTAAAGAATCCGTTATTTTACTTTTTTTTTTCTGGCAGCTGGGGTGGCGATTCATTCCACTGTGGCGACCCCAGATTAATAAAGGGACTAAGCCGAAAATAAATTGAATACCATTTTTTTTTACAGTGTACAGTACAAACTGTACGTTGTGTATGCAATTCCTGTGTAGTTGTCATTGCACTTGACATCAGTACTGTCAAACCCAGCATGACATGTCTAAAGCAGAGCTTTTGAAACGGGGGACTAAGGACCCCCAGGAGGAAACAACAGCCGTCTGTGAAAATATTTCATTATTTATTTCTGCTTTTTAAAGATACAATGATTAAGAGATTCTATTAAAAGCTATATTGAAAACAATATAAAATAATTGAAATCACTTTTGTTTATAAAAATATGTCAGATCTTCATTCACAGTCGTCTTAGACTTATCTAAAGATTTAAACAACTCTTTTTATTTTCCACAGAAAGAATCGGTGTAAGAAAATAACAATGGACTTTTCATTTTTGTGGTGAACTCTCCACAAAACCTTTTGCTTTTCGATAGAAGAAAAGGCTCCTTGATGTTAAAATTAGTCTCTGTTTGATAAAACTATGATTATCCTACTGGAGGATATTGCTCAGCAGGGGGTTTGGCTTCTGGGGTCTGTTCACTGTTGAAAAAGACAAATAAAGAGCTAAAGGAAAAAGTTATAAATCATAAAGCATGTCTCTGCTCAGCTGGAGTTGATAATAGCTGTGATCTTAACCACACTGCACATGCCACTGTATCTAACTGTGTAATTACAGCAGGAGTAAGTCATTCACACACCCATTGAAAGCATTCGCAGATGTGTACTGTATGTGGAGGTTCTGTGGCTGTGCTGAATGTCCCGGTATGAGGACTGATACTACGATGACATCCAGATTATAAGAGGCTCTCACTTCATTGGCTGGAAACACAGGACTGCGGTCAATAGGAACCATGGACGTTTTTGTGTGGTGAATGATTGCACTGACTTTAAGG